CTGGCGGCGCGGGCGAGTTTGGGCAGAACGAGCCGCATGCGGGTGCTGATCGCGGTCGTGCCTCTGGCTGGGCCTTGGAGCCGCGCGCCGACAGCATGGAATTCGGCATGATTGATGGTTTTGGGCTTGGACCCCGTGGTCGTGGTCGTATCATGATGGGCGAAAATATTCGGGGGCCCGCTTTCAGCCGCCGCGCCTGCGATGGCTTCGGCTAGGAGGCATAGCCAAGAGAGGCTGGTCTTGGCTCCGGAGCGCGACGCTGAGATGAGCGCGAGCTTGCGCCGTCGCGGCCGACGTCGCCACGCCGCTGTGGGCAGTCGTGCATATGCCGGTCTCGACCGCACCTGCGCCCTGGCGATGGCTGCGACCAGCGCGAAGGTGAGCCGAGCACGTGCAATCATTGTGTGTTGAGTCTTGCTGGTGCCGCACCGCGTATAGTCAGCGTCGGCTTGGTCCTCCGCGTGGATCGGCCACGCAAGCTCGTCTCCAGATTGGTCTTCCATGGAGGAGTCGTTGTCGAGAGACCCATCCCTTCTTTCGGTGGCAATCCTGTCAGGGGCGGCGGCGGCGGCAGCGCATCGCGCGGCGGTGGAGGGTTCCCCACGGCAGAGTTGCGCAGCCAGGCTTGTCTGTGCTGCTGCATCTGCTGCTGACAGGTCAGTTGCGTGGCCCGTTGGGCCTGCCGGTGCGCCGCCGCCACGTCACCGTGGGAGCGACAGGGACGAGGCCGGCGGTCAGCACGCGGCAACCTGCTGAGGTCCCCGCGTTCGACGGCTCTGACCAGACGCGTGTTCCCCCACGCCGTGAGGCAGATGTCGCGGGCCTCGCGTTGGCTTCTGCATTCGCTGAGCGCCTGTTGGTTGCGCGTGGCACGGAGTGGCGGGGCGCACCTGGAGCGCCGCAGGCACTGCGACACCCGCGCAATACATTGGTCCATCCAGCTTTGGAGCGCCTCCTGTTCGCCGCCCCAAGGCGACCGCATTTCGGTTGTACTTTGGAAACGGTCGAGGATGTCCTGGCGCTGGCAATTAGCGTGTCGCCGTCTCATGCAGCTGCAGCATGTGCGTATCTTTTGGATGGCGCATGTCTGCATGAGGCCTCACCCGTCGCCTGGGTCCTCGATGGGGCCACTGGCAGGGCCAGCGTCCCTGTCTGGATCTTGTATGGGGCCGTCGCTTACCACCTGGCGAGCAGCACAGACTGCGGGAGTGGTGCCCCTAGACCCAGCCGACCCCGCGTCCTTGCCCAGGAGGCATGCTGCCTGGGGGCCGTCGGGACTGGTGTCCGTCAATACCCTTGCCGTCGCGCCGTGCGTGGGCGTCGTCGGTGAATTGGGTATCTGATGGTCGTGGTGCACGGCATCCATTGCTGCGCGCAGTGCTTGAGCGATGTTCATGCTTTGTCACTCTGCTGGTGCAGGCCCAGAGCCGCATCGTCCTTGGCATGGGACTCGTGCCGCATCTGATGCCGGTGGACGTCCCAGGCCGCGGCGGCTGGTCGCCCTGGTTGTCTGTTGCTAGTTAACCCAGCCTTTGCACGGCAGCCGCACCTTGAGTGGCGCATGTTGGTGCTGCTAGTCGTCTCACTAGCAGGTGGCTTGGACGTAGCAGAGGAGCAGCGCGGCGCTGCGCCTCGACCAGGATCGGCGGAAGGGTCACCGAGCATAGGGGCCTGTGCCCCTAGCCCCCAGTCGCTTAGAAGAAGACTGCGCACGGCGAGCTGGGCGCGGGCGAGAGCTCTCACGAGGCCGCGGCACCATGAAGACGCCCACCCAGAGGCGGCGCCCGCAAGCGCGCGGCTGGCCAGGCAGACGCCGCTGAGCAAAACGCTGCGCAGCGGTGAGGTGCGAGCACCAGCAAGCGAGGCACGTCAGCAGCCCCATGACGATGGTGAAAACTGAAAGAGCGATGCTTACAGCACACCCCGTGCCATAGCGGACCGGAGTCAAGTGCCCCTGCACAAGTGTGTCAAATAACTCAGCAAGTCGTTCGGTGAGTCTTGCTCCGATGGGAGAGGGAGACCCATCAAGGCGCCTTCAGCACGGCCCATGTGGTTGTTCTGGTCAGGTGCGGCGGGGCGCCTCGCCTGCCAGGACGTAACCCGTCTCCACTCCTCCAGCCGGCGGAGGCTCCGCCCTTCTTCCGTCGGTGGCTGGGCGCCGGCGCTCGGCTGGGATTGGGCCGTTCGGGCTGCCAGGGCCGTTTGGGCTTCCGCCTGCATGACCAGTGGGGCCATCAGGGCCATGAAGGCCCTTCTGCATGTGTTAAGAGTGGTCTGCTCCACTGCCAGTAGGGATATCCCTTGTTCCAGCTGGTTGCATTGTTGGGCGAGGGTGGCCTGGCTACTGGCTTCACCTGACACGGTGGTTTCCAGGCGCCTGACCTTGTCGGCCAGCTGCTGTTGTTCGGACTCTAGGCCTCGGAAGCTCACGTTCCGAGATCCCTTGGGCGGTTGGTGGCGAGAGCCACTCTTCGTCGGAGTCTTCGTCGTATTCTGGTGACTCGGCCCGACCTTTGGGCGGTGCTGGCGGAGTGCCGGCGTCCTTGTATTTTGCGTGTCGCTCGGACACGTCGCAATCCCCTTGGTCGCGAAGAGCCGGTGGCGCCTGGTCCGGGGTGGCCACTGGCTCCTCAGGCTGTGGCTCCGTGGCTTGTTTGGTTGCACAACTAGAGCGCCGCTTCGTCCTCGTGGCACTGCTGCCACGCTGTGCCTTGCCAGGTGGCGGGGCTGCTTGGAGGGCCTGCTGCTTCCTGGTGGTTTGGCGGCGTGCATATGACTTGTAGGCAAGGCCCGGTGGCCGCCCTCTCCAGGGGCGATGGCGACGCGAGGGCACCGGGCACCGCCTGGTGGCCGCCTCCGCCTCCTCCTCCTCCTCCTCCTCCTCCTCCTCCTCCTGCTCCTCCTCCTCCTCCTCCGCCTCCTCCTCCTCCTGCTCCTCCTCCTCCTCCCCGCCGCGGGCCCGTCCGCCACGGTGGTCTCTGGTGGGACGAAGGCTTCGGTCGGCTCTTGGCGGGCGTTATTCTGGGGCTCGATCTTGACAACGGTCCACGGGGCGGTAGACCCGTGGGCGTGAACTGTAGTGTTGGCTGGTGGCGCGGCGGCTTTGAGGAGAGCAGGATCACCTCTGGTGGATTTGCCCCATCCTGTGCGCGGCACTTCGCAGTGCCATTTGATGGAAGTCAGGACCTTGGCGATTTGCATTCTCGTGGCGTTCTGGGGCTCGATACCCGCGATGGGGCACTTGGGATTGGCGGGTGCGGCGCCGGCGCCGGCGCCCCCGAGGTCGAGCGCGACCTGCTTAGCCTCCGCAGCGTCAGGTTCGACGCAGATGCCCACCTTTTTATCCGCGCGGATGGCACCGCAGGCGTTGTGCTTTTGGGAGGTCGCTCGTGCTTCTCGGAGAGTGCGCAGGTGGTCGCCTGGGCACCAAGCCGTGACGTAGTCGTGGGGCCCCGTGGGGTGGCGGCCCTCGTGTTCCGCGGTAACCGGCATCGAATTGGATGTCCCCCTGGCCCGACGTGGAAAGCACCCGGGGCACGTCCGCCAGTTTGATACCGAAGGTGGCCGTCAGCCCGCGCTTTCCCCGCTCTCGTACCGAGTCGCGCGAGGAGCCTCATGAGCTCTTGGAGTTTGACGGTGCAGAAATGGCAGGTGAAGATGATTGTGAAGGCGTCCGTGAGGTCGTCATCTGGTCGCTGCCTCGCACTGTCGCGCTTGGCTGTCTCGTGGCGCTCGTGAGCCTTTTGCTGAGCCGTGCCCGTGCCTCCCGGAATGCGGTCTCCGTTGATGGGGGCGGCGCCTGAGAACTGGGCGGCGAACAGGTGAACAGGTCCTCCAGTGCTGGCGTGGCAGCGATGGCGTCTGCCTCGCAGATGGCTCCTCGAGACCAGGTGGCACTGCCGGCTGGATGGAGGGTAGCTTGGACCACGTTTCGGAGGCAGTTGACCTCGGCCCAGCTGGCAGATGGTCCCATTGATGTGTCATGGCGTGGGCTTGGGAGCTTTCGCCGTGGTACGAGGGTCTGTTTCCACGGGTAATCGGTGCTGATCGGCCCCAGGATTGCTAGTGCCAGGGTTGTGTCTTAACTGCGGATCTGTTGCAGGAGTCGGGTCCCTTCTTCTAGCTTGTGGATCGAGATGCTGCTGGTGTATGATGTCCCGTCCTCCGCCCTGTTCGGCGCAAGTGCGACGGGGACATTCCAGTTTGGTGCATCGACGCTCACTGGTGGGGCAGGGCCGTTGCCTTGGTGGGCGTTGGCGGAAGCCGTGGACCTTGGTGAGTCGCGGTTGGAGCCCGTCTTGTGCGTGAAGGAGTAATGCAGCATGGTGTAGCCGACGTTGTTTTTGTCCGCACAGTTGTACCAGGTCGTCCCTTGGCTTGCGCTGGTCGGAGCGGCGTTGTCGGCAAGTGTTGTCAAGGTCGCCTCGATGCTTATGAACGAGGTCGTTGTAGGCAGCGATTGCTCGGTAGGCGCCGCCACTGTTTTGCAGTGCAGCGACGCAGGCTTCCTTGCGACTGAATTTGGTGTCCTGTCGGTCCTTTGAAGTTGCCTTTAAGCGGCCCTTGCCCGGTGGCTCGACTTGAGGTGGTGCAGATAGTGCACGGCGAAGACTTTTCGGAACCATGGCGCGCGCGCGGAAAGAGAGGGATGTGACACGCATCGGTCCCATATGATTTGATATGGTTGCAATCTCACCGGGCTGGGGGGCGCGGCAGGTTACGTGTCGCGGCTTCGCCCTGAGCAGAAGTGTTTTCGAGCCGAGGTGGGAGAGGGAGAGAGAGAGAGAGAGAGGAAGAGCAAGACGGAAAACCACAAAGGCGGACAGAGGAGGAGGAGAAGAAGAGCGCGAGGAGGAGCAGGAGGAGGAGGAGGCGAGTGGAAAGAGAGGAAGCGCAAGAGGAACTAGTTCAAGGCGGACAGGGGAGGGTGAGAAGGAGAGCGCGAGGAGGAGGAGGAGGAGCAGGATGGCGCGGCCTCGCCCGACGGCCGCACGCCCGAGGTACGGCCTGGCACTGATCTTGGGGTCGGCCGCGTGGTACTCGTCGTGCCTCTTCGTTGTGTACATCTACTCCAGGAGGGTGCGGGCTCACAGGTCGACGTGCGGCCGATCCTCCCACCCTGCTCCCCTCGTTGCCTCACCCTCCATCTCCGCTCGCCCCACCCCATCACCATCACCATCAATCACAGTCGCCACCACCAGCGTCACCATCACGCTTACCATCATCAACATCACGATCACAGTCAGAATCACCACCACCATCGTTGTCCTGTTTTCGGGAGCTGCACGGAATTAGTCTCCGGGTGTTGAGGCCGAATCGGGTTGGATTGGGTCAAGTGGTCGTGTTCATTAGCAGGGTGCTGGCTGACGCCGCCGACAGATGTGCGAAACCAGCGGCACAATATATCTACACATTCGGTGCGCAATTCATTGCCAAACCTATTGCAGGACGGTGGACGAGGGTGCAACGACCGATTATGGCGTAACCAACAAGGGGACATTTTGTAGGTTCTGCCAGCCGAGGACGCAAACTGAAGCGCGGTCATTAGCAGGCAGTCTTAAGTCTCGGCGGCCCTCGGCGCAATACAGACAGCTTCTAAGTTTCAGCGGACTTCGGTGCAACCTATGGCAGAATCAATTGCAGGACGCTTGAAGCTTCGGCGGCTGAGGGTGCAGCAAATTCTGCATGGTGCAATCAAGCGAAGGTTTTGGGGGGCGAGGCCGAAACGAAAAGGAGCCCCCAACGGGAAATCGATGTCGGTGTCGCTTCGTGTCGCGCGTGACGCGCGTGGGGCGAGGCGAAGCTGCTCGAGGGCGAGAGAGATCCTACCCTGTTGGGGGCCAGGAGCCAGCATCTGCCCCTGACCTGGGCCGGCGGGCAGGGGTTCCTGTGGTTGTCCCGCAGTTGGCCCGCGGACGTCCCAGTTATCTCGCGGTTGTCTCGATGGTTGTCCCGATGGTCGCCCCGATGGTTGCCCCAATGGTTGTTCCGCTGGTTGTCCCGATGAAGGACCTGAATGTGCCCGGATGGCTAGATAGCCAGACAGATAGATAGGGATATCGAGCGACACGGATCGAGCTCGCCTGATACATGGCGAATCCCATCCGGAGCCAATCGCAAACCCAAAGCTGCACTCACCCCCTCCCACCCAACCGCCGTATCACCCAAAGGTTGGCATATAAAATAGCAGAACTAGCACAGTTTCAGCGGCCGAGGGCGCAATCTATACCGCAACTAATACCAGGACGTGCTAGGCTTCAGCAGACGAGGGTGCAACCAATGGCGCAGCTAACAGCAGGCAGCTTTATATGTCAGCGACTATCGACGAACCTTCTGGCGCAACCAGGAGCAGACAGTTTCAGTTTCAGCGACCTTCGGCACAACCCATGACGCAGCCAATGCCAGGACGCGTTAAGGTTTCGGTGGCCCTAGACGCAGTCTAGGACGCATCCAGCAACAGACATTTAGAAGTGTGGGCGGCCTGTGGTACAACCGAAATCGAGGACGAAAAAGAGGACGAGGAGGCGGACGGGGCTCAAAGTACCCCGTTTCTCATAGTTTCTGCGGGGTCACGCCCGATGTATCCTCGCCGCTTGGGCTACGGGGTGGTGAAACCCAAACGACGAGATGCCTTGTGATTGCGATCGCACCTCTGCAAAGAGCGAGCACGCTTCGGCCGACGAGGCAAGCCACAACACCTAACCGCAACAATTGTGACAGGCACCGAAAGAACGCACCCCCGCCGCCAACGCGAAAGGGAGGGCTGGCGGACGCGGAGGAGGAGAAGGACGAGGTGAAGGGAGCACGGCGTCCACAGCTGGCCGCTTCGGCTCGGGCCCCCGGACGGGCCCGGCTCTGCTGCGGCAGGGGCTACCGCCACGCCCCCGGCCCATGCGTGGTCGCTGGTGGCTGGCGCTAGCGCTCTGGGCGGCCGCCATGGCGAGCGGCGCGGCGACCGCTCCAGGCGCGGCCGCCGTACACGGGCGCAACGCGGTGGCGGTGGTGACGGGCGCGAACACCGGCATCGGCTTCCACGCCGCCGAGCAGCTCGCCTTGCAGGGCTATCACGTCGTCCTCGCGTGCCGGAGCCAGGCGCGGGCCGAGGAGGCACTGCGGCACCTGCGCGGGGACCACGGCGATGGCATCTCCGCAGAGGTGCGGCTGCTGGACCTCGGCTCGTTCGCCTCCGTGCGCCGATTCGCGGACGGCCTGTCCGACGACGTCCGAGGTGCGAGGGGCAAAACATTGAGCATAAGTGAAGTGCCAGAGATCTGCGCGGAATTCTTGCTTGGGTCGGCGCTGGGCCCCGCTCCCCGCCACCCCTGCCGGCGCCTTGTGCGCCGTTCCCTGCGCGCTCCGCGCGGCGGAGAAGGGGTGCGTGGAGGGACCCCCATCCACACTCCGAGACTCGAAAGTCAAGACGATACGCTCAGCTCAACTGTCGGAGCTCCACGCAGGTTCCTTGGGCAGGTGCCGAACCCCTCTCTGTTAGGGCGGGTCCAGCGCAGACCCAAGACGTCCGCGTGGACCTCCCAAAGTCTCCTGCTCGTGACGCCTCCTGGTGCCCCGAGGCTGCGGGCGGACGCTGAAGGTGCTGCTCTGCAATGCCGGCCTCAACTCGCGCTCCGTGTCGCAGGCGCCCGAGGACCAGCTGACGCAGGACGGGGTGGACGTCCTCTACCAGACGAACTTCCTGTCGCACCTGCTCCTGGCCCTGCTGCTCCTGCCGCTCCTGCGCTCCGCCCGCGGCCGCGTCGTGAGCGTCACCTCGGTGATGCACCGCGGCGCGTCCCGGGAGGACCTCCCCCTGGCGCGGCGCACGCGGGACCCCTACGTGTCCCTCTACGGCTTCTCGAAGCTGGCCCAGCTGGCGGCGGCCGCGGAGCTGCACCGGCGCTTCGGCGGCGACGGCCGCGTGGCGTTCCTCGGGGGCGGCGAAGAGGGGGGTGATGACTGAGGGGGGGGTGGATATCATGGCGGGGGCCATGAGATCTCCCCAGATTTCATGGCGCCCCTTCTTGTTTCAGTACGTCCCCGGCCCCCCCCCTCTGCGCCGCGCACGTGCCGCCAGCCATGATCTGTGCCCCCCCCCTCTTGGACGCCCCCCACTTGGCCGCCCCCGAGTTCCACTGCGTGAACCCGGGCGGCGTGGCGTCGGACATCTGGCGGGAGTACCCGGCGTGGCAGCGCTGGGCGTTCTCCAGGGTGCTGGCCGCGCCGGAGCGCGCGGCCCGCACGGTGGCGCTCGCGTGCGCCTGCGAGGAGGGGGCCCCCCCGTCCGAGCCGGCGTACTGGAACGGCTACCTCGGTGCCGACCTGGCCTCCGCGTTCGAGTACTGGAGCCCGTGGTCGGCGGGCGGCAGGCTCGTCCCGTCGCGTCCCGGCGAGGCTGCACTGGACGCCTCGTTCGCGCAGCGGCTGTGGGAGGACAGCATCTCGGCCCTGCGGGCGGGGGGGCACCTGGAGGGCGTGTGCCTCGGAGATGCGCCGAGCAGCGACCGCACGTAGAAGAAAAGGATCCGGAACAAGAGGGGCGATCGGCGAAAAACGGAGAAGGGCACGAGCGGCGAACATAGCTATGTCCACGCCGTCGCAGTCTGGAACCCAAGGCGCGGTCCCGCGGATACACGGATACGTTCCGCGCGCGGCATCCGCGAAGAAACGGGGGGATGCACGTAGCATATTCGATTGGTAAAGGGGAGGGCCGTAGAAGACTACAGAAACGCCACAGAGCAGCACCTGTCATTCTAGGACGCCACAGCGTGCCAGAGGACTCGGTGGCAGACTTGGGTCTCCTGGGCACGATCAGCCCAGCAGTACAATATCATCAAATCAGCCCGCGCTCACCTTACAGTTTAAGAAAAGAGAAAGGAAAAAAGTTTAAGAAAAGAGAAAGACAGCGAGGCTTAAGAGCGAAAGGTTGCCAAAAGGGGGAATATTACATAGTCATCTCCTTCGGCACTGTATCGGTTCAAAGTGTGCAGACCGCACACGACAAGTCAGCATCAGCGCCTTGTGCAGAACATTGTGCGCAGCCGCCCAATTCATTGCCGTACGTTTTGGTATGCAACACGGTCGAATAACTTCAGGTGACGAGCACATGCGAACGTTTGCCGTATATTAGTCAGTAGGCGTCCTCATTAGATTACACAAGCGTGCCGCCCTTTGTCCATCAAGCGCGTTGCGGTGCGATTCTCCACGAGTTGTATGGTCATTGCGGCCGTCTTGGTTTGGCGCGCCTAGGGCCATTCTGATACATAGCGCGATCCTTATCCGAACTGTGGCAGACCCGATGATATCATACTGGCTCAGGTTCTTAGCTTCGCCAATATACGCGCGTGCGTGTGTTATAGCAGCTATGTTCAGATTGCACGCGCCACGTCTTGTGGACAAGGCTTCATTGTCGCACGGTTCGTTGTTTCTCGTTTCATTATTCTTCGATGTTTCGCTCTAGCCAGAGTATTTGCCTGCACACACGGTCGTGCATTCGCATCACCACCATTACATGTTGGACATCCGGGAGGATCAAAGCTGAGTGAGCCGAGGCTTGCTGGCAGCATGCGCCTGCAGCGAATTGGAGGGGTCCGGCAAGTGCACGCATGCCTTATAAGCCAGTTGCTGAACGACAGTTCGGCTGAATGCTTTCCGCTCGCCGAAGGCCCATGACAGCCTCTCGGGCTCGCGACGAGTCGAGGAGGAGTGGGGAGGGAGAGGGGGGGAGGGAGGAGGAGGGAGGGGGGAAGAGAGAGCCGAGGACAGGCAATCCAGGGAGGAGAGGACATCGGGCGGGCCCAGGACCGGGATGCAGCTCTCCAGAGCACTGGAAAGGCCGCGGTGCCCGGTACATCCTCCAGACCCGCCAGATCTCTGAGATCCTGGATGTATCCCAGTCCGATTTCACCCCAGTCTTGGCTTCACCTTAGGACAGCCAGAGGGAGGATGAGAAGAAGAGAGCCGTGGGAGGGCACGGAAGCTCCCCGCCAGGAACACCGTCGGGCCTCACGCGAGTTTTGCGTGTCCAGCCACCAAACATGGAGATACCATTAGGGAAGATGCCCCACTCTTGCGGAAGTCCTCGAGGGCGAGGGGGGGAACGCCTTGGAACGAGGAGGGAGGCTGGGAGTTGATGCTGACGTTTCGGGTTCGTCGCCTCCAGGGCTCATCTGAGGACGGAGGCGGATGGCGGATGGAGGGAGGTAGGGAGGGAGAGGGGCACCCAGGCAACACAGCATTTTGCTCATGGCGTGGGCCCCCAGAGGCCTCGACCCCATCCCTGGGGCTGGAGCTGCTCATCGTCGGAGGCCCGGGCCGCTCGACGGAGACGCCACCGGTGACTCCTGCTGCGTGGCGTCCGGGCTTCCGGGCCCCCGAGGGCACGCACACACACACACACACACACACACACATTTCTGGGTTCCCGAGAGCACGCACACACACACACACACACACCGGGGGGAGGGCAAAACAAGACAAGCAACTGCACAGTGTCAAAAGAACTCCAGGCCCCAGGGGCGCGCTCCCACCAGGGCCTCGGGGCCCACCCAGCCGCTCCGCGGCCAGCCCCCCCCCCCCCCCCGGGAGGCCCCAGAGGGGTTCAGCGGACGCCTCGATCGTCGATCGTCGATCGTCGACCGCCTCGACCCGCGGACGACGCCCGCACAGAGGCCTCGATCAACGATCGCATCGACCGCCCCAACGATGCCCACACAGAAGCCTGGATCGTCGATCGCCTCTCGACCCTGGGACCGCTCCCGGAGCGAGCTTCAGCCAGGACCTCGAGGCGGAGCCCGCTCTCTTCCGCTCGGGGCGGACGAGAGGGGAGTGGGGGGGTGGGACCGCGCGATAACCTCCTCGAAATCCCAAGAGACCTCGCCGCGCTGTCCGTCACCGCACGGTCTTCGGACCTTAGAGGCCCCTGCCGCCCGAGACGCCCTCGGAGAACAACTCGAGTCCCAAAACCGTGAGGTGACCCCGAATCCCAGGGCCCCCGAGGAATGCGAGAGGGAGGGCTGCGAAGTCCGCTGCGCGCAGCCGGTGTCGGCCCCGGCGCCCAGCGCACTCCTCGATACACACGGTCGCTCCTGGCTCGGCCACGCGTATGAGCGATCCTTCGCCGGAGTGACCTTTGGCGCGGACACACAGGGGTCCTCACAGCATTGGCTAACGCGCTTGGATTTGGCCCCCCCGCGGACCCCGAAAGCCGCACACCAACGGTCACTCTTGCCTAGGGTCACTCTTGCGTGTAGTCAACTGGCGCCAGGAACGCCTGTTGCACGCGGTTGGTTCGCTAAGCCCCGCCTTCTGCTATCCCTTCCCCCTCCTCGCCCGACCCGATCGGCGAAGGAAGTCGCCAGGACCTCGGCAGGCCCAGATCGAGGAAGTGCAAACATGGATCGAGGCGCGTGGATTAGCGACGGGCCACGCTTCCTTACAGAATCGGCACGATCCGTCGCCAGATCAGGAAGCATTGGCCCCATGTCTCGGGAGTACCTTCCCCGATCCATGTTAGCGTGCTCCCGACCAGAGAAGCCAAATGAACGCCCACATGCCTCGATCCTCGATCCCACCTCGTGAAACAGTCGAGGCACATGTCCCGATCCGCTTTCTGCGCTTTTCGCTCTAACGCTGCGTCGACTGTCCGGTGGTCGTGTTTGCTCCTTTTCCCTCCTGGTGAGGGTGTGTGTGTACGCATACGTCGAAGTACTAAGTAAATGAATCTATATATATATATATATACACACACACATACACACATACATGTGGCGCTCCAAAAAGGGATTTGTTTTCGAGGATCGAAGGAGGTGTCATCTCTTCCTCGGCGGAAGGCGGCGGAAGGTCGGCGGAAATAAAACGAGGCCGCCTCCGCCGGCGGAAGCTGGCGGAATCCCGCGGAAGCTCGGCGGAAGGCGGCGGAAGTAAAAGATGTGCCCCCAAGAGATGAAAACGTTTTGGGTTCAGGATCTCCGAAATCGCCCACATAGATAAAATCTGCACATCCCCAAACAGTGCTTGGCGGCTCTGCAAGTCGCCGTTGCCGCTCCGTCGCCGCCTCGTCGCCGCCCGCCGTGTGGGCCTGTCTGCCGCTTTGGCGGCTCTGCAAGTCGCCGTCGCCGCCCCGTCCCCGCCTCGTCGCCGCCCGTCGTCTGGGCCTTTGTGTGCATTGCGGCGCACTGCTTTGCACTGCCGTGCATTGCGAATCGCTTTGCATTGCGTTGCATTGCATTGCTTTGCTTTGCATTAGTACGCCGCGCCAGGCATTGCAGCGCATTCCTTTCATTGCTTTGCATTATCACGCCGCACTATGCATTGCTCTACGCTGCGTTGCATTGCTTCGTATTGCTACGCGGTGCTCAGGATCGCTTTGCTTTGCACCTCCTCTCCCCTCCTCCCTCCTGCTTTTGTGTTGCTGCGCATTGCGATGCATTGCACTCGTGTCGTTGTGCTGATTTGCGTTGCGTTGCGTTGCGTGGCTGTGCGGTGCCTTGCGTTTCCTTGTGTTGCTTCGCATTCGTTTGTGTTGTTTTGCACTGCTGTTGCATGCTGGCCATTGCAATGCACTGCTTTGCATGGCTTTCTCTACCTTGTTTTACATTGATTTACTTTCACTCGCACAACATAGATTGCGCAAGATAGACTGCATGCATTGGTTTCCCCAATCAGGGCCTGCCTCTGTAGGGGTCCTAGCGGATTCATATGGTTAGGTGAGGTTCGTCGCCGATTTCGGTGGCCGGCCCGGGTGCCCAGGGGTGCCCAGGGGTGCCCGCGGGTGCCCGGGCGCCCGGGGGTGCCCAGAGGTGCCCGGGGATGCCGGGGGGTGCCCGGAGGTGCCCGGGTGCTCTATCGCCCTATAGCCATATACCCTATAGCCATCAGATAGCCCTACAGCCCTATAGCCCCATAAGCCCATAGCCCCAGAGCCTCATAGCCCTATAGCCCTATAGCCCCATAGCCCTATAGCTTTAAAAAGACTATGATTTGGGCTTTTCTTTGGTATCATCTACATTTACTCGCACTCCTTTCTAAAAACAGGATAGACTCTACCCCCCCCCCCCGGCGTTATCCCCCCCTTTTCGGGTCGGGAGCCTTGAGACGGGGGTCAATGCAAACGGGGGTCAGCCACGGCGCAGGATCCTGCAGGATCCTGCGACGACCCCCTCTGGCTGACCCGGGTTAGGGAGCCGTTCGTGGCCGCGAGGCGGCCGCGCCTATTGGCTGACCCCGGTTTGCGAGGACCTGCGCTGCAGTTTGTTTTTCCTGCATTGCAGTTTTTGGTTTCCAGCTGACCCGGGTCTGGATTGACCCGGGTCAGAAGATCCCCGATCGGGTATGTAAATCATATATGATTATGACAACATGTCCATCCTAAACATGAAGAATTTACATTATCCCAGAAGGGCCGGGATCGACCCCCCTGAGGTTCCCTTGACAAAAAAAAACGATACGCGGGGACATCTTTTGTTCTAACATAACACTCTTTCACGAATCCCTGGCAAAAAATTGGACGAAGTGCACACGCACGCGTCGTCGCGCGCGCATGCCGAAATCCTTCAAAAACCCTCGGTGCCGTAAGGATTTCGCAATCGAGTTCCCCAAAAACATACAAAAACACAGGGTTTCGCAACACGGATTTGTTAAAAAAGCTTCCGCGCGAGCCTCTGCGAAATCTGAAGAAAACCATAGGTTTTTCAAGATTTCACAACATGCTACCACAAGGGTTTCGCGCGCGCATATCGAAATCTGTCGAACGCCCTTGCGCGTGTGCCGTCGCGAGAATCCTCTGCAAAAAACGAGACGAAGTGCGGACGCGCGCGTCGTCGCGCGCGTATGCCGAAATCCTTCAAAGCCCATCGGTTTCGGAAGGATTTCAAAATCGTGTGTCCAAAAAACCTACAAAAGCACAAGGTTTCGCAACATTGATTTTCAACAAAAGCGTGCGCGCGCGCTCTTGCGTCGTCGTCGTCGTCGCCGTCCTCCCTCCTCCCGCGTCGTCGTCGTCGTCGTCGCCTACGTCATCCTCTGTCTTTCCTCGTATTCGTCGTCGTCGTCCTCGTTGGCGTCGTGGTCGTTTCCGTCGTCGTTGTCGCCGTGGTCGTCCTTCCTCCTCCTCCCTCGTCGTCGTCGTCCGCGTCTCGTCGTCGTCCCTCCTATTTCGTCGCCGTCGTCGTCGTCGTCGTCGTCTTCCCTCCTCCCTCGTCGTTGTCGTCGTCGGCGTCGCCGTCCTCCCTCCTTCTTCGTCGTTCGCGTCGTCGCCGTCCTCCCTCCTCCCTCGTCGTTGTCGTCGTTGTCGCCGTCGTCGTGCTCCCTCCTCGCTCATCGTCGTCGTCTTCGTTAGCGACGTCGTCGTCGGCGTCGGCGTCGGCGTCGTCATCGTCTTCGTCGACGCCGACGTTGGCGTCGTCGTCGTCGCCGCCGTCGTCGTCGTCGTCGTCGTCGTCGACGTCGTCGTCGGCGTCGTCGACATCGTCGTCGTCGTCGTCGTCGTCGTCGGCGTCGTCATCGTCGTCGTCGTTGTCGTCGTCTTCGGCGTCGGCGTCGTCGT